TGTCCCCTGTGTCACCTGTGTGTCACCTGTGCCACCTGTGTGCCACCTCTGTCACCTGTCCCCTGTGTCACCTCTGTGTCCTGTGTCACCTGTGTGTCACCTGTCTGTCCCTTGTGCCACCTGTCACTCCCTGTGTCCCCAAGCCCCCCCCGTGGCCCCTCCCCCCTGACGTCCCCTCTGTCCCCCAGGTGTCCCCATGGCCGAGGGCGGCCCCTCCCCCCGTGTCCCCCCCGGGGAGGTGACAGAGCCGGGACAGCCCGGGGGTGGCAGCGGGGGTGGCACTGTCACCGTCACCCCCTGGGCCAGCGGCATCACCATCACTGTCACCGCGGCGCCTGCCCTGGAGGAGCTCGGGGACACCGAGGACCTTGGGGACATTGGGGACATCAAGAACCTTGGGGACACTGGGGACATCAAAGGCATCCAGGACATCGGGGACATCAGGGATCTTGGGGACATCAAGAACCTTGGGGACACTGGGGACATCAAAGGCATCCAGGACATCGGGGACATCAGGGATCTTGGGGACATCAAGAACCTTGGGGACCTTGGGGACATTGGGGTCACTGAGGACATCAAGAACCTTGGGGACATCGGGGACATCAAAGGCATTGGGGACATTGGGGACACTGAGGACATTGGGGACATCGGGGACATCAAAGGCGTTGGGCACCTTGGGGACATCGCGGTCACCGCAGATGGAGGACAGGGCGGTGTCCCCATCCCGTGTGACGAGGACATGGGGGACATTGGGGACATCAAGAACCTTGGGGACATTGGGGACATGAGGAACATTGGCGACATTGGGGACATCGGAGATGTCACTGTCCTGGAGGACACTGGGGATGGGGACGTGCCAAATCTTGGGGACAGCGGTGTCCCCACCCTGAGGGACAGCGGGGACAGGGACAGCGGGGACAGGGGTGCCACCATCGCTTGGGACATTTGGGACAGCGATGTCCCCACTCCTGGGGACCGGGACACTGGGGACATTGGGGACATTGGGGACATTGGGGACATTGGGGACAGGGACGTGTCAAACCTTGGGGACAGGGCTGTCCCCACCCCGAGGGACATCGGGGACAGGGACAGCAGGGACAGGGAGGTGCCAGCCCTTGGGGACACGGGCGGTGGTGACAGCGGTGTCACAGCCCAGGGGGACATCGGGGACTGGAATGGGACAGCGACATTGGGGCCAGGGGCCTTGGGGACAGCGGTGCCACCACCCTGAGGGACACTGGGGACAGGGACATTGGGGACAGGGACATTGGGGACAGGGACAGTGGTGCCACAACCCTGAGGGACATTGGGGACAGGGACCTTGGGGACAGCGGTGCCACCACCCCAAGGGACATTGGGGACAGGGACCTTGGGGACAGGGACAGCGGTGCCACCACCCCGAGGGACATTGGGGACAGCGACATTGGGGACAGGGACCTTGGGGACAGGGACATTGGGGACAGGGACCTTGGGGACAGCGGTGCCACCACCCTGAGGGACATTGGGGACAGGGACATTGGGGACAGGGACATTGGGGACAGGGACAGTGGGGACAGGGACATTGGGGACAGGGATGTTGGGGACAGGAGGGACAGTGATGTCACCACCCTGAAGGGTGTTGGGGACAGGGACATTGGGGACAGGGACATTGGGGACAGGGACAGTGATGTCACCACCCTGAGCGACACTGGGGACAGGGACATTGGGGACAGCGGTGCCACCACCTTGAGGGACACTGGGGACAGGGACATTGGGGACAGCGGTGCCACCACCCCGAGGGGCATTGGGGACAGCGACATTGGGGCCAGGGGCCTTGGGGACAGCGGTGCCACCACCCTGAGGGACACTGGGGACAGGGACATTGGGGACAGGGATGTTGGGGACAGGGCCAGCGATGTCACCACCCTGAAGGGCGTTGGGGACAGGGACAGGGACATTGGGGACAGGGACAGTGGTGCCACCGCCCCGAGGGACCTTGGGGACAGGGACATTGGGGACAGGGATGTTGGGGACAGGGACAGCGATGTCACCACCCTGAAGGGCGTTGGGGACAGGGACCTTGGGGACACTGGGGACATTGGGGACACTCAGGCCTCAGCCCAAAGGGACCTTGGGGACAGCGATGTCACCTCCCCGGGGGGCAGCAGGGACAGGGGTGGCCCCAGGGATGAGGAGGGAGGGGACAACGGTGTCACCTGCCTGGGGGACAGTGGGGACACCGAGGGGTTTGGGGACAGGGATGGCACCGCCCTGAGGGACCTTGGGGACATTGGGGACAGCGGTGTCACCTCCCTGAGGGACTTTGGGGACTTTGGGGACAGCGATGTCACCGCTCTGAGGGACCTTGGGGACATTGGGGACAGCGGTGTCACCTCCCTGAGGGGTGCTGGGGACAAGGACACCGGGGACAGGGACCTTGGGGACCTTGGGGACTTTGGGGACCTCGGGGACGCGGCTGTCACCTGCCGGGCCGGTGGCATCACCATCACCGTGGTGGCCCCGCCCCCGGAGGATGAGGAGGCCCTGGATGATGACGTCATCGCCTATGACGTCATCGCTGCCGATGTCACCGCGGCTGGGGAGGGCGGTGACGTCACAGAGGGGCGGGGCAGCCCCTCCCCTCCCCCCAGCGGTGACGTCACTTCCTGCGCGCCGGGGGGTGACATCACTGCTGATGTCACCGCTGATGTCGCCGATGGCGATGGCGTCACTTCCTCTGTCCTGGAGGAAGCTTTTGCTGGTGACGTCATCGCCGGCAGTGACGTCATTGCCCCCCATCCTGGGAGTGGCCTCGCCGATGACGTCACCGTCCCAGGGTGTGACCTCATCGATGACATCATCGTCAGCCATGACCTCACCGATGACATCACCGCAGAGAGCGAATACCCGCAGGACCTGGATGACATCAGTGATGACGTCATCACCTTGCACGACCTCACTGATGATGTCATCGCCCCTGAGAGCGACAGCACCCATGACATCATCGAGCATGGCTTCCCTGATGACGTCATCGCCTGGGGTGACGTCACAGCCCCGCCGGGTAGTGACGTCATCGATGACGCCGTCGGTGTGGAGGCCAGCATTGATGACATCATTGCCGTCCGCCACGCCCCTCCCCTTCCCGGGGATGACGTCATCGATGATGTCATCCCCGGCGGGCATCTCCTCGATGACGTCATCCACCAGGACAACCTCCCTGGTGACGTCACTGAGGACGACAATGACGTCACCTTCCCTGGCCTGGGCCCGCTCCCCGCCGATGACGTCATCACCACCGACGACGTCACTTCCTCTCTGCTGGGTGATGTCACCGGGGACCTCGACGCCGCCTGGGACGACCTCGCCGATGACGTCACCGCCGATGACGTCGCGGCCGACGATGACGTCACGCCCTTCCTGCCCTTGGAGCGCCCCCCGGGCCCCGAGGACATCGACGATGACGTCACCGATGACATCACAGACGACGTCGCCCCGGGGGCGGAGCAGCCGCTGCTCGGCTCCGCCCCCTTCGGCCGCCGCCATGACGCCGGCGATGACGTCAGCGATGACATCACCGAGGACGAGCCCCGAGGGGGCGGGGCAGGTGAGGGGGCGGGGTCAAAGGGGCGGGGTTTGAGCTCAGGGGGTGGGGCTATGAATTGGGCGTGACCACGTGGGCTCGTCCCGGCCCTGACCACGCCCCTCCCGCCGTGGCCCCGCC